GGGGGGGGGGGGGGGGGGGGGGGGGGGTTTCTTAATAACACTCTTTACCTATGCACTGCATGGCCAAATAATGAAATATATAATCTAGAAGAATTTAGCCGCTATTATGGTAAATAGAGAAAGTGAGCTTTAAAACGTATATCTAACTTTATTGTACCAACTTTTTTGCGTGCGCGACACACATATAGAGGGAGAGAGAGAGTTTGATTTCGAAATATTTGATAATTCTTGAACCTATTATTGGGTTGGCAATGCACCAAGATAAAAGTAAAAATAACACGGGCTAGCCAGTTTTCGAACTGATAATTAAAAAATAGTCAGCGCTTGCAAAATCATTAAAAAATAGCCACTATTTTACTAAAATATGGAAAATTCCAACATAATATACCGGATATTGGTGCCATTGTCACCTTTAAAACGGTGTTCAAGGGACAGACATTATAACTTTCAAGTATGAAATTCAATTTCCCCTGGCCATAAGAAGAAATCAATAAGACGAGAATTGAAGATTGATGAACAAGTACGATCATGTAACTAGTTTCTAAGGATGCTCCAATAGAAGTTTGATTCCATTATTTCCCACCAAATATAAGTTGGGTTTTGTTAATTAAAACAAGAGAGGTGTGAATGAAAAATGATGGGAAAATAAATAGAGAGAAATGAAATTTTGAATTAGTTCACTTTACAAAGGAACTTTATCCATCATTGGATAGGAAGTGAAAAATTCTTGTGCTTATCTATCTATATTATTATAAAAGTACGAATATTTCACGATAAATGTTGAATGACAAAATATCCTTAAAATATTAATCGACTTTTATACCCTTAAGTATTTTGTCAAAAAAATAGTTCTATAATGGATAAAATAGTAATATCTAATACTAATTTGCCTAATATATAGGTATTTGATACCAACTAATGATGGAATTTTCTTAAAATTAATAATCGTATGTAAAGTTCTAATAAGATACTAATTGAAATAGGTGTACGAAATTAAAAATATTACAAAGTAACTCTCCGGCATTTGCTCGCTACTCTATTTATCTAACCTGTAGTTACAAGACTTATCATACCCTTTAATCTTTCAACTTAATTCTTAGAAGGATGGACCTAATTGAGAAACAGTCTTTAACATTAAAATTTAAGGGTTTACCATAAAGAACAATACACATGAGCGAGAGATATTTATTTATATAGATTTTAGTTCGTCTTTTCTTAAACCATTGCAGGATATTTAATTTTATAAAAAATGATATATAATTAAGACCAACCTAAAAAGAATTAGATTTTAATATCATAGCTGAACGATTAAAAAAAGGAAAGAGAAAAGATAACAGTGATCAATTAATTATATGAGAGTTGAATGCTAACACGTTTAAATTACTTGCAAGTCCAACATTGTTGATATATTCAAAGACCAAAAGTTTTACCTCCTTCATATTGTTAAAAGACACAACATGAAGCAAATTCTTATGGTTCAGTTTAATTTGTCAAATCTTCTCATGTGCAGGAAAATCTTTCTAGTCCATTTTTTCTCATATATGTAACTAGAAAGGTAATAGTGATATAAAATGGATTTGGTAAAAATAACGTCTTTAATATCATATGTTGCATGAGATTAACACTTTTGTGGTAACAAGTATATTCAAATATTTTACATTAACTATTGGGTGCGCTTATTATTACGTGCGAAACACGTATATAGAGACTAGTACTATATTAAAAGCACGAAGCTCCTTAGAGAAATATTGTTCGCCTTTTTTATCCTTTTAAAATAGAGTTCATATTAGACAAAATAGTTACTTTCCTAATATTTAGGACTCTAATTAATTCCTAACATTTAGGACTTCTAACTCAACTAAATGTTTTATACTGAAATTTTTCTTATTTTAATTAAGTAATATGCCACATTTGCAACCAAAAAAAAGTAATAACACATACACATAAAACCACATTTTTTGGTTTAGAAGCTTTAAATTCTCTTGCAAAACACCTTAGTTTCAAGACACGTAGGAGAATTTTTCTTAAAAAAACTATAAATAGGGAAGCAAAGACTGATTAAAAAGGATGTTTTATAACTAACAAACTTAAAAAAACGAATGCAAACTCACATTAGGATAGTTGATTAGTTTCAAACAATTTGTATTCTTTTTACGTTTAGGAGTCTTTTTATTTTGTTAATTTTTTTTACAGATTAATTCTTTGAAAATTCAGTCTTATAGAAATAATTAACAATTATGTAACGCAATTTATCATTATGTCCTTCTAATAAGCTACTAAGAAATTAACAAATAATTCAATACTCTAATACATTACTAAAAAATATTAATTAATATAATTATTAGGTTAATCACTAACACTGATTAGTAAATAATAAGTTTCATAAGCCACATATATGAAATATTGTTATCAAATGAATAATGTAACAAAAAAAAAGAATTTATATTTTTTAAATTTTTACTTTATAATGCAAACATATTATTTATTAATATATACACGATTTTTTAAAAAGTTATATACTCACTATATAGGTACACGCGCAAAGCGCGTACCCTAAGACTAGTAGCTCTTAAAGAATTAAGAAGAGAGCAAGTCTCGCACTGTCGTTGTCGTCATCGCTCACTCTCGGCTTCAGATTCGGTCAATTGATATGATTGATTGATATTTTTTTGGACCAAATTTAATTTCCTTTTTCATCATTTAATATTTTCTTTTCTAATATTTTTTGCACGAAAAATATGAATTCGTGAAATTATTTTCAACAGTCGAATTCACGACCAAATAATCCATTCAACAGAAATTCACATAATTTCTGCGGAATAGACACTTTATCAACGAACAAGCAACTTTGCACCTGTTGGGAGTCAAATTCATTGGCTATAAATAGAGAGGCTTAGCCTCATTTTCTAGCACCGAAATCTGAAAATCTCTCTCCACTACAACAAATGTGATTTTTAACCACAAAATTATTAGCTACAATAGAAAATTCGTCACTAATTATTCACTTTTTGTGACAAAAATTACATTTCGTACTTAAATCCATGAGTCATATACTTTTAGTGACGAAACACAAACTTCATAGCAAAAATTTTGTCTACTAAGGTTTCCCACCAAAAATATGGGTTGGCGCCAATTATTGAGAAACATTAGCCACAAAAATAAATTATCAGTGACAATTAATTTCGTCACTGATGCTGCAAATAATTTGTGACAAATCATCATTTGTCTTAAAAAATAGTTAAAGTTTTATTTTCTTTTCTGATATTTTTGTGTGAAAAATTTGAATTCGCGGAATTATTTTCAACAGTCGGATTCATGACCAAACATTCCATTCAACAGAAATTCAAATAATTTCTACGGAATAGACACCTTATCAACGAACATGCACCTTTGCACCTGTTGGGACTCAACTTTGTTGGCTATAAATAGAAAGGCTTAGCCTCATTTTCTAACATCGAAATTTGAAAATCTCTCCCCTCTATCTTCTGCATTCTGCATTACTTTTCAAAGAAAAAAAGTAAGCATTTTGTGTGATTTGCTTCGCCATTTGAGTTAGCCGAAATTCTGTGATTTGAAGTGCCGCTATTACAGAATAGTTATTTCGTTCTATCCTGGGAGGAATTAATCCGAAATCTTGGGCACCTGTGAAAAGATTAAATTCCTTAAGGACACACAAGAAACTTGTGGGCTGAAATTTTTATGCTTTGTTTTCTTAAACTGACGTTTTCTAGTTTTCTGATTTTGAATACAGTGAGATAACAATATACACTACTGCAAAAATCTAAGAATTCGGTAGGACTATAAAGTGTCTTGAATAGAAAGTTATTATTCATTAAGTTTCTGGTTCTTTTTTTTTTTTTAACGAAAAAAAGAAGAAAAAGAATACAAACAAAATCAATAATTTATGAAGCAGTTACATTGGTATTACCTTTATACCTCGTAGGAAAAGGACAAGTATGTAAGCACGAAATAGAAATCCTTAAAATTTATTTTCATACCTGGACGTTCTTTTTAGTTATTGGTACTCTTTTATTTTTTTGTCTGTACCGAAATATAAAATTAGTTTTTTTTTTATATTAGAAGTAATTTAATTTTAAATTTTTTATTTTAATTAATAAAATGATTTATAATTATAAAAAATATATATAGCTTGTTTGAGATTACAAACTTAAAACTCTTTCTATTTTATACTTTTCGTACCTAGTCAAATCAATATCTCATAAATTGAGAGGAAAAGTATTACTTAATTGTATTGATGAAACATTCCAAGAGCTAAGAGACTATATTATTACTCCTCTTTTCCTCCCTTAACCAGAGGTCTCGGGTTCGAGCTCTGTGTATGAAAAAATTCTTGGTAGGAAGCGTTTCCCTCGAAAGGGGCCCTACGCGGCACGAATCCGGATATAATCGGGCTCTAATGCAGATACCGAACATCGAGTGGGAAACCCAAAAAAATATATTATTACTCCTCTTTCATTTTATTTGTCATAATTTGACTCAGTCAAAAGTTTAATAAATATAAAATAAATAAGCCATATTGTTTGGGTGACTATAGAATATTTGAAACTTAAGATTTTAAGCATATTATAATATTTATGTGGCTGTGATTATCACTAATAAAACATATAAAATGTATTATTTTGTGGGGACAGATAACAAAAAGGAAAAGCAAAGCAAAATGAAAAGGAGGAGTATAAATTTAAGTGTCACAATCCGCCATAATAATGCAACAGCCGCCCCATACAAATAGGAGACCAGGTCGATGACACATCAATCATAATTTTGAGTTTCAATTTCCTGAAAAAGAAAAAAAAATCCAGCAGGGGATTTTCTAAAAGTAGAGTCAACTTCCTTTGTTGCATATATAAGGGGGAAAACATGGAGACAGTGTGAGAATATCTGAGAAAGTTGGTATCTTGAGAAGAAAAATTGCATCATCTATACAATAAAGAATTTGGGTGCTGTTTAAAGTAAATTATTCAAGAGTGTTGGGGGTACAATAAGATTAATTTCGGATGGTAGTAAGAGAACAAGACTTGAGATTATTTTCTTGGATATTTGATTATTGGGCTTTTGACTGGACAATAAAATCAAGTTGGAAAAGATGACATCTTCAGCTGTGAATTTGGTGATGACTGTGATTGGGTTTACAGTGAGCACCATATTCATAGTATTTGTGTGCACAAGGCTAATTTGTGCAAGAATTCAATACCTGACCCGGCGCTCTTCTTCTTACACTACTTCCAGATCTGATCTTAGCATTGTAAGTATATTTAGCAGTACCAATTTAGCAGTACTATGTTCTTTTTCTTGTAAAAAAATAATTGAGAATGAAGGTGGTGGTGTTGACCTTATTGTACTATTGAAATTATGGTTCAGAATTTAATATGAAATTTTAGTGATCAGTCACATATGTATATATATATATATATGCTTCGTGTCGGAAATACTGGGTTTCAATAGAACACATGGTGCAGTAGATGCATCCGCCTTTGACTATAGCCCACAAGAACAGGTGTGACCTGCTCACCAAGGTTGGAGCAGACAGTAGCTAAGGCAGAAATTTGATTAAGAGGATTCAGAAAATGTTCTCCTATGTTTAGAGGATTCAACAATTTATTTATATACATGAAATTTTTTTCAGCTATACATAGTACAATTTTTCAGCGAAGAGGATTCGACTGAGTCCCCTTGAGTGAACGTGATGGAGCCTCTGGGAGCAGATAGGTTCATCAGTGTTACAGCTGGGAGTTGTCCTTAGTTTTCCTTGTTGTTCTATGTTTGGTACCTTTTTGTTGGGAGATACTAAATTTTAGTTGGGGTAACATCTGATGATGATTGATGACTGTAGTTTTGATCGGTTCACAGTAGTCTCGGTGGTATATAATCATGTAGCTCCCTTGGGTCTGTGATGTTTAGTTTTTTAGGTTTTGGACTTTTAGGATGCGTTTTCTGGCTTGTCGTATTCTTTGATTTGAAACCTTTTAAACTTCAACTTGTTTTAGAATTCCTTTGGTTTGTGTAGCCAATAGCTCGAGAATATTGTGTTTCTACTCTGAAGCAGAATGATTTTTTTCTTGTGAATCACTTGTTCCTGTTTAATCTGTGCAGGTGGAACGTGGTTTACATGGCCTGGAGCCTCTTGCTGTTGCCAACTTTCCAACAAAGAAGTATAGCGATGCATTTTTTACCTTTGCAGAAGATACTCAGTGAGTTGAATCTTTTTTCTCAACTCATATATTGAACTAGCTTACATAAGTGGCAGTTGTATCTAGTTGGTTGTTTTTTGACTTCTTCGTGAAGTGGACTATTTTAATTATAGATTCCGCAAAGCTAGTTTATGTTTTTAGATTATGTTAGCATTGACAACTGGTGAAGTCCATGCGAGTTAAATCTTAATATGACAGTTATACCAAACTTTTAAGATTTTAAGCCAACAACATAGCGGACGACTGATGAGTGGGACAGGAATATGGTGAACACTTTGACGCTTGCCTTTATTATGTCATAATCGCCTTCATTGAGATTTTGGTAATTTTTTTATCATTTTTTCTCTGAACCATGGTTTAGATTGAACGAGTTAGAAATGAAGAAAGAACTGGCTGCTTGCGCTAACACGAGAGTGTTGACATCCATTTGTAGATTGTCTTAGTTTGGTGTATGGTTTGAACAGATAGTTAGTTTGGTGTATGGTTTGAACAGATAGTTTTGGACAAGCTTAAAGCAGACTCAATAAGTTTTTTTCGGAGAGGCCGCCAAAGATTCAGTGCAGCAGCACGTCGGGGGGCTGCCTACACTCCTAGTCTCCTACACAATAAGTGTGGGATTGATACCTTATCAAAGGTATGCGTGTTTTCCCCTCCTGTTCCCTTCTGATACCCCTCATCATCATTGCTCAGAACTCAGAAGAGGAAAAAATGATTTATTAGTGTTATCGGCTTCTCTAGGAAGAAAAAGTCAAATCAGATATGGCATGCTGACCTGCTACTCCTTGCTGATAATTTTGTTGTGGGGAAGGGGGGGCATATGGATCGATAATTTGGAGATGGAATCCAACATCTTTTCATTTGTGTTTCCCTTGTTAGATACGCCATTGCTGAGACAAAAGATTGGACATTGGATTTATCCATTATGCTTATAAAATCCTTTCCTTGAACTTGGCCTTTGCTATGTATATGATATTGGGCAAACAAAGCACGCACTGACCTACCCATTTTCAGATGCATCTTCCACTTTTTGATTGAATGACTGGGATGGGAATACCCCAGCTAACACTGGGATTGACTGTTCTTTTATCATTTATGCTAGACCCTTAGCTTTGGGTGGTGCCATTTTAGCTCACAAAGGCTTATATTTTTGAGCAACAGAAGCTGTCTATTCATTTACCTTTGCTGAGCCATCTGAATCTCTTTCATTCCTCTGTGTTTTTGTTTGAAGATTTGTTATTCAATTATCTCGTTAAAACAATCATCATTTTTGACCTGAAAATCCTGCTAATTATCTTTTGGAGAAGGTCTTTTTGTAGACTTCTTTCTTGCAAAAGGTGTCCGTTGTTAGCTTTTTAAGTCGGATCAAATCTGCTTCCCAGAATTCCTACTTTCCGAGCTTGTTCAATTCTGTGTTGAAAACCTCAAAATAGTACCAACTAAATTTACGCAAAGGAAGTGTAATCAAAAGCACATAAAGTTTAGAAAGTTCAGTTTATTATGAAAAGAACGTGCGAAATGAACACAGCAAAAAGTAGCTTACAGCAGAGGAGTATCTAGCATTTTGCTTACTTCTTGAACCTGTGGCGTCCTCCTGTATGACATGGACAAATTTTTCCTGGAGTACAAAACATCAGATTTTCCGCGTATCAAGCTGTAATTTTATTCAAGAGGCAAGGGAGTAATAGCTGGCACTTATTTCAAATGCAGACCATGCTAGCAAAATGGATTGGTCACACATTATCAGCGACGAGATTAACAAATGAACAACTTAAAAACCTAGGTCTTGGTTTGTCAACAAAATAGTGCGGCTGCCAGATAGACAAGAAGTTCTTTAGAAATTTGTCTTTGTTCAAGCCTTGTCTGAGCAAAGAAAAGAAAATACATCTCTAAAAGAAAACACAACCTACTAGTTTCCATTCTATCTGGCTTCTTAGACAATATATATCTTTCAGTTGAAAGTTGAGGTCAGACCACAACTGGGGTATGCTACTTAGATTTTGTCTGCAACTGTTATTATGTGAAAAGACTGTTTGATTTCAAGTTAAAAGAATGAAGCTACTTTAAATCTGATGTGAGCAATGCTGTGCAGAAGATGGAATTAATTATCCTAAAGAGGAATTATTTCCTTTTTGGCGTAACTCAAGATGGAATTCATACTTTCTCGTAGAGAGCTCGTTCAATTTGAATCTACTTAATTAGAATGTATTCAACTTTTCTGGTGCAATCGTCAATTTTAAAAAGTCTTCACTTTTAATAGATGAAAAAATCAACTTTTTAAAAATTTGGAAAGACGCGGGAATGAGCTGACCTTTTGCCAGGTCATATGTGTTCACTAGTACATACAAACTGTAAAGTAAAAGAAATCTGATGCCAAATATACATGGCTGAATTATGTGCATCAATTGGTGTTTATTTATCTAAGTTTAACGATAAGAGAGGGAGCTTCAAGTACCTTGGATTAGTAATCAAGGGCTATGTTGCGCGGACTCTCCGAAACACTGCCGCACCCGTATCGGATTCTCCAAAATTACACTGCTTTTAGAGAATCCGACACGCACCCGACGATATTTCCGGAGAGTCCGAGCAACATAGATCAAGGGTAATGGAGATTTGGGAGATCGACGAGGATATCACACATCGTATTGGAGCGGGGTGGATAAAATGGAGGCTCGCATTCGGTATTTTGTGTGATAAAAAGGTGCCGCCTAGATTTAAAGGTAAGTTCTATAGAGTAGTGGTTAGATCGACTATGTTGTATGGGGCAGAGTGTTGGCCAGTCAAGAACTCCTATGTCCAGAAGATAAAAATAGCAGAGATGAGGATGCTGAGATGGATGTGTGAGTATACTAGTAGAGAAAAGATTAAGAATGAAATTATTCAGGACAGGATGGAAGTAACCCCAGTGCAAGACGGGATAGGAAGCGAGGCTGAGATGGTTCGGACATGGGAAGAGGAGATGTGCAGATGCCCAGTGAGGAGGTGTGAGAGGTTGGCTTTGATGGGTCCGAAGAGAGGTAGAGGTAGGCCTAAGAAGTATTTGGGAGAGGTGATTAGACAGGATATGACACAACTTCAGTTTATTGAGGACATGATCCTTGATGGGAGGATGTGGAGGTCGAGAGTTAGGATATGAGGTTAGTGGGTAGTCGAGCGTATTTCTATGTCATACCGGTAGGTAGTAGTATTTGTCTTGTACTCTCGTATTCTTAGAGTTCTATTATTACTGTTTCTTTATCTTCAGTTATCTTATTATCTTGTTCATATGTTACTGCTTGTTGATTTCTACCATTTTTTTGTTTTCCTTGAGCCGAGAGTCTTCGGAAATAACCTCTCTATCTTCACAAGGTAGGAATAAGGTATGCGTACACACTATCCTTCCCAGACCCCACTTATGGGATTACACTAGGTATGATGTTGTTGTTGTAAGAATAGTTGTTGAATCAAGTTACTTTTTTTGGTTTAGAAGATAATGTTGGATTAAAAAAATCATGTATTAGGCCGTAAATGAAAAAGTGAGGCTATTATTATAGCATGAATTCTCCAGTGTCCTATCTATGAAAACCATATTGTGGTTGTCTGGTTGCGTAATGCATTGTATACCAGAGAAGCTCATACTGGTGGGAATGCATCAACCTGTGACTTTTCAACTAGTATGCGCAAAGCATTAAGAATTTGTTTCTTGTATGTTCAACAATATGTCAAAGAAAGGGAAGAGACAGAGCATTTCTTTGGAGATTACTAGAGGTGGTATGTGTTACTTTCTGGTTTGTTTGGCCATAGAATGCTCTAATTGAGATGTGCAAGAATCAAGTATTATGTATTCTAGTGGGCTTTATCCATAACAGATATCATTTGAGGAGGCTGAAATTATTTGCGGTCACTCAAAAATTTTGGTGTTGTGTAGGTCAGTTTAGAATGTAGTAGTGAGCTAGACAAGGAGATCACTAGTTTGATGGAGACTTGTACTGCTACAGGTACAAATAAAGTTTTTAAAATATTTTTCTTTTTGGGGTATAAATCACTGTAAAGCCTTTGTAGCGTCTCGGGTTACTCTTTTTGTCTCTTTATGTGAGTAAAATACTCTTCTAATCAAAAGGATATCTTTGAATTCGTGCCTTGGAAAAGGTAATTGAGAGTGCCCTAAGAGCCATTATCTGTTTACTCCAGCAAGTATGCTTTTTCTTTCATGATTCAGAAGAACTAGGAGTAGTTGAAATTCTATGATATGAAGGTGCATTTAATTCAGCTTAATCTCTAATGATAGTGCTTTTCGTGACTTACTATGTGAGTTTATTGAGGTTAGCCGTAACATGATTTACATAATTTAAAGTTTTTATACACCGCCAAGATCCCAGACAAAGTCCTCTTTATGGCCATTTTCATGTTTCTCCTGAATGTGGTGCAGTTGTCTTCTCTAGTTGAAAGGAGAGAAGAGTGTATTTTCTGGTGTGAATTAGGAAGATATATCACTTGCTGCATTTGTCTTGTAATCTATAAGTATGTATGCAAGTAAAAAAGATGCAGTGTGTGTGTCTGTATTGAACACCATGTCTGACACAATACATGGGTGACATGTCCAACATGCATCCCGAAATAGAGTATAATGGATATAGAGAATCCATATGGCCGATTCCAACTCGTTTGAAGTTGAGGTATAGTTAATTACGAATTGGTAGTATATCATTATTCAACAGCTGAACAAATGTGGAAGTAACATGTATTCTCTTTATCCGATTATGTGATGGGATTTAAAGAGATACCGTTCATGAGTTTGTCCTGAAATGGAGATTTTTTGTTTATGTTGTTTTGTTATTCATGGTATCAGTGTCTCCTCTAGTGTACTTCGTGAAATATTCAACCGATCACCTTCTGACTGCCTTGTGTACTTCATTGACATAGATGCACAGTTTGCCTTGCTGAGTATTGGGAGGAAGATACATTACGTATTTTGCCTTTGTGTGGGCACTATTTCCATGCCACTTGTATTGACATATGGTTTCAGCAGCAATCCACATGCCCAGTTTGTCGAATTTCCCTGCGTGAGACTGTTGAGAAGAAGTGCTTTATGCAACCCTTGTTTAGTTCAGCTGTCCGATCTCAATATGTGACGGACTCTCTGAATGTTAATTCGAACCAATGCTCATCATCAGGGCAGAGGCTTTCTTCAAGATTACATGACTGCCAGAAAACAAACCACACTACAGAGAGTGCATCAAATGCATAAGCCTATAGGCCTCAAGATTATAAATGGCGAAATTGGCGGAGATTGAAAGGTATTTACAATGCTGTAATAACGTTAAATCTAATTATACAGATTTTCCTCTTGCTTTCTTTCAAGTATAGCAAGGTGATGTCTGTATACAAATACACAATGGACCTAATATGATTCGACCCTTTTCCGAACCCTACCCATACATAATGGGAGCTTAGTGCATAGGGCGGTCCTTTTTTTTTTTTTAAATAGCAAAGCGATGCCTTTTTTTTTTTTTTTTTGTTTTTGTTTTTGTTTTTGTTTGTCTGTTTTCTTTTGTATACTATACAGCAGCTGGGGTGTATAGCTTTTTTGTAAGTCAAGTCAGGGCAAATATTTTTTCTCCTTTTTGTAAATGTTCTTCAGTTTAGGTGGTGGTAGCCCTGTAGAGGCATTAGTTCAGCTTCCTTTCTGTCTATACATTGCAAGCTAAGATACACACTAGCTTATCAGTTATGTAAATAGACATGCTGATATGGATGTATTATGACTGTTTTGATTCATAATTGATGTGTTTGCTCAAATGAAGACAAAGAAACATGGCAGTTAAGTGGCCGCAATAATTGATAGCTATACATACAGATTTTTGAGGCAACAATAACTTTAAAGCTGTACATTTTTTTAAAAAAAATATTTAAATCAAGGACCGAGAAAGGGAAGGGGATAGTGAGAATTGAACACTCAATAATCAGTATTTTGAAGGGTGCGACCCTTCCTCAAATCTTGCACGATGCTTTGTGCACCACACTACCAATATAGAAGTGATGTATCATTAATGTTGTTTTAAGTTGTAGTTTGATTCCTTCTCCTTTTAAGACCAAGATTATTTTTTTTCTCTTATAATTCTTGAATTAACCTGTGGGATTGATAAAGGATGAAATTTGTGTTCCATAGAACTAAGAAATAAAAAAGTGAAGTGGAAGAGAATTTTTTTTTTTGGTTAAAATGGATATTGTATTTATATGCTTAGTTAACAAAAGGAATTACATCAGGGGCATTGCTGGGGTATTTAAGGAACCCCATAGTTGTAAAGTTATGCATGTGTTTAGGTTACAACCCACAAAAGATCTAACTAGTTCAGTTCCTAGGATGTCTGTCCAAAATACATCATTGGCAAACATCGGAGGAACTACTAATGTCATAGATTTATTCAAAAATATTTTTTTTGCTACTTCCTTGGCCAATGTATCAGCTACCCTGTTCTGCTCCCTGTAGATGTGCCTCACTACTACACTGCCCAACCTTTGGATGATTGACCTGCATTCACAAATTAGAGGGTCATAAATTAGACTTCCATTCAATAGCATATTGATTGTTTCAGCTCAATCAATATTTATTTCCAGTGGAATAAGGTGGTTTTGTTCTGCCAGTTGTAGACCCCTTATGAGGGCCTGAATTTCTGCCCTTGTGTTTGTTGTTTGAGGCATATTGTCCATGTAGCCTAATATCCAGTCGCCATTATGGGTCCTGAATACTCCTCCTGATCCTCCTAGTCCTGGGCTTCCCTTCGCTGCTCCATCTGTATTAAGTTTGTAGGTACCTCTGGTTGGAGGTTCCCATTTTTACAAGATCTGGTGAGTTACCTTTGTTGAGTCATTCTTAGTAAGCATAAGGTACTCTGTTGCTTTTGAGATTGTGTTAGTGGCATTGATTTGTTCCTTTTTGTTATTGAATAAATTGTTGTTTCTATTTAGCCAGATATGCCATAGACAAAAAGGAATGAGATTGTCCCAAAAGATAAAGTTATTGAAAGGGACATTTTTGATGGAGTTCCATGTTGATTGCCACTAGAGGCCATTGAATACTGGAGCATTGTGTAACCCATTTCCTGAAGATTTTGATAGGATTGCATTCCAGAAATGGACAGTATTAGGACATTCAAAGAAAATATGGGCAATGTTTTCCTGTCCATTGTTACTGTAATGACATTGAGGGACACAGTTGATTCCAATAGAATGGAGGAAGCTCCTAGTTGGGAGTCTCTTATGGGTCATTAGCCAGATGAAGTACTTGATTTTATTGGGGGCTTGAAGCTTCCAGATTCATTTGAAGGAGCCTTCCTCCCCAGAATGGGTAATGTTTGTAGTCCTGCTTAGGAAAAAGTAAGCAGAACTATTTGAGAACTGTCCATTAGGAGTCAAATCCCATATAAGATTATCATCCTTAGTTGTAACAGGGGGAATGAACACACAGTTCAACAGGTTCAGAATATTTAGGGGAATGTCAATGGACAAGGCTGATCTGTCCCAATTGCCTAGGGTGTGGATTGAGCTAATCTTGGCATCTAAGTCTCTTTGGGTTAATGGGCCCTTAATCATTTGTCTGATTGCTGGCTGATTGGGGATCCAAGTGTCGTTTAAGAAACTGACTCTATTACCTTTGTGGACTACCCATCTTCTTGCTTTGTTGCATATCTCCCAGCCCTTCAGATTATCCTGCTAGATTGGAGATTTTGGGTGCCTAGGGTATCTAATGGCCCTAATTGGTCTAGCAGTAGTGGAGAGATTGCAATGTTTGTGAATGAGGACTCTAGCCCATAGGCTATTGGTATTCTTATAGATTCTCCATGCAAGATTAGTGAGGGAAGCTTTGTTTTTTATACTAGCTTTTTGGAGCCCTAGCCCCCCTCAGCCTTGAACTTAGTGACCACCTCCAAGTGGAAGAGAATTGATTAGAGGGCTAGCTGATCTGGTGTAATAATAAAGGAGTAGAGAAGACTCAGTTGACTGGTTTTTGGGTTGTTGATACCCAATTTTTCCCTATATATTTTCAATATGCAAAATAACATATATACGCATATATAAGCAAGTCCAAATATTTTATTATTTTCCACAATTTTAAAGGTTTAAATTAATTTATTTTCTCCCTTTTTATCCATAAAATCCCAATAATTATTTCCAAAATTAGTATTTTGATAATTCATCTATTGAATTTTTATATTTATGACAAAATATGGCTAAGGTAATTTTTACATATTTTTACAATTTTATTTCGTATTTTTAAAGCTAAATTGCATATAATTGCAATGTTAGCCATTTTAAGGTTTAATTATGTTTTACATTCATAAAATTGAGTCTTGTATTTTTATTTTGTTAATTATGTATTATAAATTATTTTATTCCTTTAAATTGGTTTTCAGAAATTATTTATTATTTTTATTAAATTAAAAGGGGAAAACTGGCTATTTAAATAACAGCCTCTTTTTTATTTCAATTCTAGCCCAAATCGGACCCTAATTCCCCAAGCCCAATTTTAATTTTAACCCGACCCTTACCCAATTAAATCCTACCCAAACCCGAATCCCCACCTGCCCCTTTTGATCTAGGTCGTTGATCATTCAGATCAATGCCACCATTGCCCCTTACCATTTTTAACCCAAAAAACGACCCCTAACCTAAATCATTTCTCACCGCCCGCCACCCTTGAATCCCCTTCCTCTCCAATCCTCTCTGCAACCTCACCTAAACCCTAGCCGCCGCCACCCAAATCCACCCTAATCCCTTTCAATCCCCACCCAATCCATGGACTCCCATGGTTGTTTGAGATGTACACTGGTCTCCTATATCTCCCGGTGGCCCGTTTGTGTGATTTCATGGACAGATCTCGTAGAGATCTAGTCCAGTCCTTGCTCAACCTCTATCTCTGGCCTTTTTCTAGCCATCCATGGCCGTTCGAGTCATACCCTTGACTTTTCCGGCTAGATTGGTAACCTTTCAAAGTCTTTCTCACTTTTCTGGGTTCTCTGAAACCCTAACCTTTAAGGTCTTTCGATTTTCTTTCAGATCTATCTTAGATCTGTGTGTGTTACGAACCTCTTAAGTGTTTTTCTTAAGGGTTTTCCGATATTTCAAAGCGACTTCTCGTTTTCAACGATTAGGGTTTTTCTAAAACTCTTTTTAAAAGATCTCTTCAATAATTTTAGTGTTGTTTTATGATTTTACTATGTTCAAACGATTTGTTTATGCTTTTCTTCTACTTGATTCAGCATGTTGAAAACCCTAGGTTTTTTTTGGTTTTATCCGAGTTCTGAATCTGTCATTATTTATTTTGTATGAATATTTGGTTCGATTAAGTTCTTTGTGTTTGAATCCTTTTCCTTGTTTGACATATCTGATTCTGAGTTCTTACCATTTTAACTCGACTTTTGTTAAAACCCTAGTTTCTTGGAATTTCCCTCACTTGTTACTGAAAGTTTTAAAAGATCTCCTCTACCTATTGCTATGTTGTTCTCTTCATTTTTTTGGTTCTATGTGACTACTTGACTTTGCTGACTACTACGCTTCGAATGGGTTCTTTTACTACTGAGCCCTAGCTTACTCTTGTTACTGCTGTATGTTTGTATATACCTAGTTGCTTCTTTTGCCAATGTGTTTGGCCTTGCATGTCTGATACTTCTGTTCCTCCTATTTATATGTCAAAGTGCAGAATCATGATTCTTTCTTGATTGATCTTGATTTCCCCAAGTTATGACTGATTGCAAATGTTTTCTTATAAACCCCCTAATTCCACCCGTTTGTCTGAATTGATTGATTCCTTTCCTTTGTTTGCTGTAGTATTGTACCCCTGCTGAATCCTTTCCCCAATTAAGTATATTTTGTACTTAGACTTAATTATTTACTCTATACTTTTAATAGTATACGTTTGAGCGGGAATCCCTTGATTAAAGGGAAGTACATGTGATAATTGATTCTGATTGTGATTATTTCCATGTTTGTGTTAAAACCTTACTTGTTACCTTATTCTCTACTCATTTTCAAAACTATAAATACCCCAATGCTTTCATTAACAAGACGAACAACTGAGTTCAAAAACACACACTTACACACTCAAAACTCTTTCTTTCTCTACTACTACTTGTGCTTCGGCCTTGTCTAGCCGGCTGAAAGCCAAGGCTAGGCTTTGGAACTCTGATTGCTTTACTTTTTTCTGTATTTTGCTCCTTCAACCGGTATGTTCTTAATTTAAATTCTGAAACTCAACCTATGTGTTCCCTTGCTGTAAATCACCGCTTCTTTCTAACTTACTGGCTCATGCTGTTGAGTCGTACTGTTTGTCTACTGCTTTACTTAGCATGCCTAAAATTCTGCCCTTCTCAAAAAATGATCAACATGTTTACCTATTTCTGTCTATGTCCTTCAACTAGCATGTCTATAATGTGCCTAATACATGACTAATTGTGTGATTCTGATTTGGGTCCTTTATGTCCTAAACCCATATCCCTTCCATGTGTTTATTTCTGGCTGTTTTGTGATTATGCGAGTATCAGCTATTGCTGTGCATGTCCAAACCAGACCCCTGCTAGGGTTATGTGTTTACAGACAAATACCTGTGTGTCCCCAAGTACCTTGACCCCTTTGTGTGACTGCTGATTCTGTGTGTTTGAGTTTTTACTACAACTGATTTCCAA